GGGTTTAGAGTTTAGGGTCTAGAGATTAGGGTTTAGGGTTCGGTTTGGGGTTTAGGGTTTAGGGGCGGGGTCTACAAATAGGGGGTCCATAAATGGGTGTACACAAAGATGATGGAACTTCCCACGCGCAGTCTTTGTGGATATAGAATCTTGAGAAACTCCTCATGTCTCTGCTGGAGATGGAAGGCACAAAGGGATTGCTTACAAAGCTGCAGTGCTGCGACACCAGCATCCATAAGCTAGCCCCAAACCCGAAACCCGGAACCCTGAACCCTAAACTCTAAACCTTAAACCCTAAAACCTGAACCCAAAACCCTACGTAGTTCTTCCGAGAACTTGTCCAAGCCGGGTTGCTTGAATCAAGGCCAGCTGCCACTGCGCGATGCCGACATTCACCAGGAATTCATCAAGCTGCTCCTGAAGCTACATGACGGGGGATTGTATAGTAGTTTATAAGGGTTAAGGTTTCCTAAAACTAGGGGTGCCATTTTGGAGTCCATGTTGGGCTCCCCCTATTTCGCACATGGGCCAGTTGCGGGTCTAGCATACTCCTAAACCCTAAACCTTAAACTTGTACCATGGTGGGCGGCGCCTATGCCCCCTCGACCTCGATGGCGCAGGCCGACAGACGTGGACCTGCCTTAGCACAGCCACGGGCACGGTAGCATCCACGATAGGCCCGGTACCGGACCCCCGTTCTCCATGGGACCCGCACTGGACCCCTTATAATTTCCAGTCACTTAGCTTTCAGGAGTGGCGTGGGAGTTTGTCAGGCAGGCCAGGGAGGGGCCCAGTGCCTTTCAGAGAACATTCCTAAACAGGGCCCTAAAAAGTTCCCAGAGCCTTTCAAGAGCATTTCAGAGGCCCAGCTGAGCCTCACAAAACCTCCTTTCTTGGCAGAGTCAGACTTCAGGACAAAGCCCCTGTAGTCTCCCCGAGGCTTTTCCTCGAGCCTTTCGGAAACCAAAATCTTGGCTATAGAAATGTGTGGTATTGTTGAGCAAGATAGACCTAACTGAGCTGAGGTCCTTAACCCTTATGGGAATAGGTTTGGGTGGTTTGGCCGCCTGGGACGGCGTGGGGTGGGTGAATGTGTTAGATGGCCTTCCACAGTCAGGCCGAAGCAGCATGTCGCATGGCACGACACTCTCAAAGCGACTCTGTGGCATGACTATCTCTGCCTCAACGCTATATCACGGCACACCCTAAACCCTAAACCCTAAATAGTAGTTTCCATGTTCTTTTCCATTATCCCTATATAACCCCATATTATCCTATAACCCCTATAAACCCTGTAGTTATCCCAATACCCTAAACCCTAAACCCTGTCCTTATCCCCTGAGACGAAGCTGGAAGCCAGCTCCTGGAAAAGGATGGTGTAGCCTGGGCACGTTGTCCAAGCGGTTTTGGGGTTTAGTGTTTAGGGGTTTAGGGGTTTAGGATTTAGGGTAGGGTTTAGGGATCTTGCGTGAACTGGGGCATATACGCGTAATTTAAGAAATCCACAGAGGTGTTGCTGCGACGACTGGCCTTCCTTTCTCCCTGACTGCCCGTTTTCAGAGCTGGAGACACCATATGGGGGTTTCCCTAAATTAGGGGTACCTTTTTGGGAGTCCCCATAACAAGGACTCTAGTATATTTGGGTCTATATTGCGATCTCCCTGTTTTGGGAAACTACCATATCAACAGAACCCTGAAACTCTGCGTGCGATTAAGTCAGTGACTTCCACTACAAATAGAGACTCCACCCTCTTTCCTCATGTCTCCTCCAAGCAACTCGTCCCAAAGTCGCCCACCTTCAAGCCAACCTTGTACGGACATGGATGCTCCAGCGATGGGTGTAGTTCGTGTATTAGT